CAAGATAACTTTGTTTCCAACAACTTGAGACTTGTACAAATCTCGAGTTCATGGATTTTTAGCATGAGATCACAACATTTCAACACACATAAACATATAAAACATACACATGCAAGCAAATATTCAAGGATTTAACAAGATTTTGACTTGTATCCCCCCCCTAAAGAATGAAAACTCGAAAATAAGGGGTATGAAGCTCTCCTTGGGGACTTTTCTCGAGAAGTAGAAGGAAGAAGATGAAGGATTTTTTAGCCTAGCTTGCCTTCTTGAAGGGATTTTCGAAGCAAGGGGTGTTTTAAGAGCATATACACGAAAATGGAGTTGTAAGAAGAATGATCTTAGCATAGACTTGAAATAGAACATCTAGAGATGAACATGGACTTTCCAAGGAGCTTAAAACTTGATCTTTGATGATAATGAATCTCAAAAATGTTTGGGAGTGAAAAATGGAGAGGGGATGGGGGAGAAGTCAGCCAATTCAAGAGGAGGGGGTGACAGTGGTTGATTCTAGCTATGGTTGATGTGAGGGTCATGGCTGTTTGTTGGACAACAAGCCTTGATACATGTAGTGTTATATTGAGGTAGCAACATTATTATCCACATAACCAAACCATAATTGGCCCAAGAGGGGTATTGGCCCAAGGTTAGCCCAAAAATGTTGGTAGGCTTCAAACTTGACTTGGTCCAAGGAGGTTTTGGCCCAATAATGTTCTAGGAAGGGTATTTGCCCAATTAATGGGTTTTCGGCCCAAGTATGAGTTTATGGAATTGAAATAGGAACTTTTGGCCCAATAGGGGGGCCAATAGTGGTTTTCAGTCTTACAAGGCCCATTAGATGGTTTTCGGCCCAATGGAAGTCCAATAGTGAATTGTGGCCCATTGATGCTAAAAGTAAGGTTTTCGGCTCAATAGGGTCCAAAGGATGATTTTCGGCCCAAAATAGAGTCTAATTGAGGTTTTCGGCCCATTAGAGCCCAAAAGAGAGTGTTCAGCCGAAAAGGCCAATTTGAAAGGCTATCGACCCATTAGGGCCTAATAAGAGAGTCTTGGCCCAAATAGGGGTTATGCGCCGAGAAAACTTGAGCTATCCGCCTTAAGTCACGCCTTACAAATGACGTGGCTCGCCAAGGCCTGGAATAGCTTGGGGCTTGACATTGCCACCAAGTCACGCCTTACGTTATTTAGAACTTTGGCATTGAAAGAGAAATCGGAAGCAACCCTAGAAATCAATTGTTATATTTTGCCAATTTTACCCTTAAAATGATTTTAAATTACATTGACTTGCATTGACCGGTTAGGCCGCCTAGACCCGCCCAGACCCTTTGACCGAATTTGACCACGTCTGATTAGCTATAAACGTCGACGGTAAAGGACCGGCAAGCGCCTACACGTCGATTAATCGGCCGCCTAGGCCGATAGTATATATATATATATATATATATATATATATATATATATATATATATATATATATATATATTCAAAATTTATCACCACTGTAATAAGAAAAATACATAATATTTGAAAATAAAAGAACTAGAATACCAGAAGAAACGAGAAATGAACATCGAAATAAAACTATAATAATTGTTTTCATAGTGATGAGGACATTCAGAATTAGGTGTACGATTTATTTCGCTAGTACACTAAGGGAAGGCCATTCAAATATGATAAGGCTTCAAAAAATTTAGCCATTTTCCCGAGATGTAAAAATATTCAAAAAGAAAGAAGTTGAAGTTGTTACAACAAAAGAATAGAAACATAATCGACAACTTACACAACCTCTTCCGATGCATGTGTTTGGTTAGACTTAAATGGCTATGATGATCTTGAATTAGAAGAATTTTCCGTAAAATGGGCACGAACAAAACGATAAGGAAAACATATTTATTAAATGCACCAGGATTCAACCAAGTTATAATCTCGAAACACATTTAAAAAGTTCATATTTTGGAAAATACATTGTTCTCGAGGGTATAATAATAATTGTACAATATTTTTCTAAGGATTTAATTGTGATTTGTGAATATAGAAAATACATGATACTTTTTTCTTTTAAAATCTCTTTATTTGTAATAAAAGTAAGGGATAATAACTTGAGAGGATAACGAACTTTCAACTATGGTCACATTTAGTCACTGAACTTTTTTTATTTTATTTTTTATTTTTTTTTTTTTTTTTTTTTGTGTTTGATTTATCCTTAACTTATTTGAAATTGTTCACGTTTTACTCTTATGAACGGTAACAACCAGTCACAAGGGTAAAATATGAACAATTTCAAATAATTCATGGGTAAATCAAGTACGAAAAAGTTTAATGACCAAATATGAACAAAATTGAAAGTTTGTTACCCTTTCAAATTATTATCCTGTAAATGATTTTGAATGTTATTAAGAATAAGCACAAACGGAATATGGAGGTCACAAAAGTGAGGATGTTGTAGTAATTGTGTGATATATCTTTATTGTATAAGGTATCGAAAATAACACTTAGAAATGCAGTAGAATCGACTTCAATCACATACAAACTGAAGGAAAAAAAAAATTATGGTGGTTTCAGACGTACTTAGGATATAGGCGGCGGTTTTCACTTCAAATAGTGGAGATGGTCGTTATAGATTGATACTTTTCTTCTTAGTTATTACTTGAATCTATATATTGCATTTGTATGTTGGTTTTATATCTATTTCTCATTGTGCTCATTTTGATTTTCGATCTTATTTTTAGTTTTACTGCTCATATATGTGCATTTTTTCCTTTGTGAAACTCTATTGATTATTTCGTCTTTGTGGGTAGGCATCTCACTTATAGGTGAATAAAGAAATTCTAGTTAAACGTTTATCTCATGATCTAGGACTTAAAGTCATGAACTAAAACATGGTTATGCAGTACATATTCTATTCTGTAATACTTTTTACAAACACAACACAAAACAAATTGTAGTGACGAAATCAAAATTATTAATCTAAGTAATTGGTATCGGTAGGCAAGATAAACTAACAGATTATTACAAAAATGGATAATAATTTGAAAGAGTAATAAACTTTCAACTTTATCCACCTAATGCTTATTTTGATAATTTCCCACATCTTAATAAACTTAAAAAGCTTTTGCATATCATCTTGGAATGTAGCGTGTGTTTTTTTCAACAAATTCACTTCACTTTCTCCGCTAGCGCATTGTTTTTCAAAGTTTGTGTAAATTCCATTCCAACATGTGACGAATTTGTTCATAAGATTCCATTTAAGTTACATTGGTCGAAGGTCCGATAATCTAGATTTCGACTCATTCCCTCACAAAGCGTTCCGTGATACGTAACCAAAATTGATCACGATTTTGACCCTTTTTCGTGCCACCATCTTCAGAGACCCATGCCCTTGCTAACTCAAGTTCTTATTTTTGTGTCCATCTTCTCGGAGCAGCCTTCCCTTTCTTTTGTTGTTGAGGTTATTGTTGCTCTTCGTGTTCGGTTGAATGTGTGAATGGCGATTAGGATGGAAATTGGGTTTGAGATGATTGAGTTTGAGGTTGAGATTGGAAATGGAATTGTTGTGGCATTTGGAATTGTGACTAAGGGCATCCACGATACATTGAACTGCATAGAGTTCAACGTATTGCCACATCATCATTCTACAATCCATACAACTCTATTATATTTTTCTCTACAATGCATTAAACTCTATAAAGTTTAATAGAATGTTATAAAATGTAATTTATAGTAAATATTTAAGAATTAAAACTTTCTTTTTTCCCATTGAAAAGTTCAATGACCATTGAACTACAAATCCATTGAACGCCAAAGGTGACATCTCACAATGGTAGAGTTTCATCCATTGAATGACACATGGACTTGTCACTTCATTCAACTCTCCCATTGAACTCACCATTATGGATGCTCTAATAACCAGGAACACCATCCATTTGTGGCCAGTAAGGTGGTGGTGATGATAGATCGTAGCCGAAAAGTTTGAAAGGGTTGTTAACATTTTGGTTTAGAGCATTTTGTTTAGAAGAGTTTTGATTGTTGGACGAAGACATTTTCTAAGAAAAAGTTGTTGTTGAGAGTGTATAGTGTGATGATTTTTTGGAAATTTGATTTGTACATACAGTAGATTAAAAAAGAATAAAAAATGAAATGTGCGAAACTAGCCGTTGCCGACCGTTTGGCAACGTTCCAAACTTAAAATCCCCACAAATATCAAACTTTCGCCAACGGTAAAGGACCACTTGCGGTGCTTCACCGACGGTTAAATCCCCTTCACGGCGCGGTGTTCACCGGCGGTGAAGGGGGCTACGTCGGATACCGCCGGTGGTGAAGGGGGCTACGTCGGATACCGCCGGTGTCCCGTTTATGATACCATTTAGTCTTTATAGTAAAAAAAAATGGAAAACAATCATATAATATACCGTGTTATAAGCGTTGAAACTCACTAAAAGCTATAAAATATTTAATATTTAATAAGACACATCAAATACTAAAATATAGTGATTATATGATAACTAGAGGTTCACAAACAAGATCGTTTTTTTATTTTGTAAAAAAATCCAAAAAAGACTTGGCATGTTTTCAATAGAACCTGTTATCCGATTATGCTAAGAACTTTAAAACAAAATATAATAATTTGACTTTTCAAAAACTGAACAGATTCTTTATAAGTTTTTAAAAACCAGATAAACCGAATCCATAACTGATTATCCAAATCCCATAAGAAAATTATATCAAAATCCGGTTTACTTTTAACCAAACATCCGATCAACCAGTATGGTTGTAAATATTTAATTCCAAAACAAAGTATTTTAATTTTCATCAAAGATCATTTCTAACACTCTAGATTACTCAAAGTCGATATTAATTCCAATATGAATCAATTCCCTTATATATGGATTGGATTCCATACTGGGCCTTTACGCTACCCACATCAACCACACAACATGTAGGCCACCTACCAAACTAGCAACTCTATATCTCAAATCTCAAAAGTCACAACAAAAAAATATTTATTTTTTGCAGAAAAAAAAAATACATATATATTAGTAAACACGAATACTCACACATCATAATATGAGTTTTAAGTCGAAATATTATGGGTGATTGTAAAAATTAAAAACTCTGGTTTGTAGAAAAAGAAATACATATATATTAAACATTTGACACGAACACAAATCCCATTAATAATAATCAAACATAATCACCAAGCATTCACATGGCTTTTTTTTTTTCAAGGCAATCAAACCATTAAAAATGTCATCTATTACAACACCCGTAGTAGTAGTTTCCTTCACCGACTAGAAACAAGTGCCTTCCGGGGGTTGAACGAGCTTGCGATTGTGGGGAGACGCCATCTCTTTCTTCAACCGAATCAATATATCTTCCATTGTGTACTCCCTTTGCCAATTCCCCAATATCCCAAACTTCTTTGGTTCCACCTATTATCCAGAAAATTATTCAACTTTTATGTATCCACAAAAAGAATTAATCAAGAAGTTTGTGTTTGTTGATTTGACTGGACAAACTTTTTAGGGTTATTTTTTTATGATGGCGAAAAAGATATTCAAATCTTTTGAGACAAGGGACACAGAGCAAGTCCATGTGTCAAACCTTTTAGGGTTATTTTTTTATGATGGCGAAAAAGATATTCAAATCTTTTTTGAGACAAGGACTCAGAGCAAGTCCATGTGTCTAACTTTTTGGACGAGACAAAAGTTGCAGTTTTTTACAAAAATTGCAACTTTTGTCTCACTGGAAATAGCATTCACGTCTTTTAAGACGAGCGAGTGACTGAGAGCAAATCTCTATCCCACTTTTTTAAAAAGGACAAAAAGGGTATTTTGGTCTTTTGAGATACGAGATTAAGAACAAGTCTTTATGCCACTTCAAATAGCAAAACAAAAAATCGCAACTTAGCAAAACAAAAAATTGCAACTTTTGTCGTATTGCAAATGGCATTCACGTCTTTTAAGATGAGCGAGCGACTGAGAGCAAGTCTCTGTCCCACTTTTTTTAATAGGACAAAAAGGGTATTCGCGTCTTCTTAGATAAGAGATTAACAAGTCTCTATCCCACTTTTTTAAATTTGACATAGACAAGAGGCTCAATCCCGCTTTATAAAAATTTACAACTTTTATCAAGGCATTCACGTCTTTTGAGACAAGAAAATGAGAGCGAATTTCTATCGCACTGAAAAGGGCATTTATGTCTTTTGTGACAAGAGACTATGGGTAAGTCCGTATCCCCTTTTTTTTGGATGGGAAAGAAATTGGGACTACGAGCAAGTCCTTGTCGAACTGGTATTAGTCCAATGCATGTCAAATGCAGTATCTGTGTAGCATATCAAGATTTGAGATTTTAAGTAAAGTGATATATAAAAGAAATCATGATTGAGGATATGATGATGCAAATGATAATGTTTTTTTTTTTACCACTCCAGTTTCATGGTTGACACAAGTCATGTTAACCCTAGAATGGAAACGAACAGTAGGAGGCTTCTCAGGGTAATCTTTGTCACAAAATAGCTTCAATTGGTAGATGCGCCCTTCATGCACAGACTGAAAACCCACAAAAATAAGGTTAAATTCGACATTTTTCTTATATTTTGAGATTTATTTAAGTTGTGTAATAGAAAGAAATGAACGTATTACGCTGTATTACGCTATAATACGATGGAAGATTTAAAAACAAGGTTCATTACTGTGGAAGAAGATTAAAAAAATGAAAAACTTGATTACATTGTGAGGGCCGATGATGGTGCCAGTCCAAGAACGCATATAAATATCATCACCATCATCCATTCCATAGCTCACAGTGCCATCTCCGATACCCTTTTCTCCACGCTCAAGCTCCTCCAACAATCTGAAATTTCGAGGCACTGGAACAAAATTCATACATCCATTGATCACGATTACGGTTGAAACAATAGAAAAGGTTAACAGAATGAAGGAGGAACAAGAACACCCCCAATATGGTTTTAAAAATTTCGAATTTGAATCGGGAATTCATCAACAAAAGAATCACTGTTAAACATCATAAACCCTCTACATCGAAGTTCCGATCGAGAGTAAAATCATCTAAAACACATAAATTAAACCCTATAGATATAGCAGGTAGATATCGCGAACGAACAACCATGTGGGTCATTTGACCTAGGGTTGTCGAAGTTCAATGCAATACCTCAAATTCCTAGTTACAACCCCTAATAGAAGGATCAATCTGCAAGGTTATTAAAGCAATCGAAGATCTCGGTAGCGTAAAGATGAAATTTTGCGATATAATAAGTTGATTTGGTCAAACCCAAAAGATCGAAAGAGATTTAGCATATGTTTGGTTCATGAAACTTACCCACGACACTCGATCCTCCTGAGCCAAGCGCCATGGATTGGGTATAGAATACGGGATCCTTTTTCGGCTTGCTGTTATATGAAGAAATCGATTTGATCGAAGGAAAAACGCGATGGAGAGAAGGAGAGGTGGAGGAAGAAAGGGGAAACAGGTGAGTGGGAATAAAGATGAACAAAAATGCTCCCTCGTCGGCCCAAGAGAACAAATTAAATACTCCCCACCGTATACGAAAACTGCTTTCTTTTCTAAAAACAATTATTATTTATATTATAATTTTAATGGTACATATCATATAGTTATATACCATGGTTATTAAAGTCTAGATTTTTTTTTTGAAACAAAAATTATTTATTAAGGTAATTAAATTTCAAAATTATTCAAAAAAATATCGGTACAAAAGATATTAGTGAACTAAGTCTTTATATACAAAATAACATCCAAGTACATGTTTTGTTCATATTACATCTTATGGTAACGGATTGGGAAAATGTCTTAGTGATATGTTTTAAATTATACATATTTTAAGAGATATATGTTATATTTTTCTGTATCTTTTAAAGAAAGTAGCATCCCATTTTCTAGAGAAGGTGGGCCAAGACTTAAGGAAGCAAATAAGGATTTTTGTAGCAAACCCTCAGCCAGTGTGGCTAAGGATGCCTATGATGTGGCATGATATTTATCGAACGCGTGTTTTTGAGGGTCACCACGACATGGCAATGGATAGCCACGACGTGGTGCCTGCTAAGACCCAAACCTATGTATTTTTAGGGTTTCATCCATATTTAAGCATCTTAACCCCCATTTTAGGTTATCTTCTTCAGCTTTGATCCCTTCATTTCGAAACCCTAGCCTCTCTCCCATGGAAATAAGCTTGGTGGCTATATCTTGAGGTTGTTTGCTCCATTTAGTGAAACTTGAAGAATAAGGTGGTTCATTTTCATGCAAGCAAGGAGCAAGCTTGTATCCAAGATCATCTTCATATTTCTTAGTTATTGAAGGTATAAAGTTCATATTATGATCTTTGTGTTTATAAAGTTAGGATCCTTATGAGACACAAACTAACAGATCTAAAGTGATTCTAGGTGCTGTTGTAAAGAAAATAGACAATTATGAACTTAATTGGAAATTCCATTGCTTGTTAGGAAAATACTGAAATCATTTGGAATCTATTTGTGTATCAAATGAGTTTAATAGACTTATTAGATTCCTTATAATCAACTAGATGAGATATGAGTGGTTTGGATGCACAGTGAAAAAGTACATTGTCAAAAAAAGAAAAAGGAAGAAGCAACTCAGCTCACACGCACGCATGAAAATCTCACGTGCCCACATGAGGGTCCAAATGTTAACTTGCTTGTTTCACACGACTAGAAGGATTTTTTGCCCATGTGGCCACATAGAAGTGACGACCATGGACCAAAACTTGTAACGACCATAACATTTGTATTTGAGCTCTAAATTAGTCCTCGTTTTTTTCCTACAATTTATATTTTAACATGAATTATGTTTTGAAACAAAATAATTTAAGATTTGGAATTAATAGCTTAATAAGTGACCTGATTGAATACTTAATAAGATTTTAACGCTCCTAATGATGCTTATAAATGACACTGAAATCTTAAACAATTCTCAAACAAGGAAGGAGGTATTAAAAGCCTAGATTTGGATTAAGGTGAGTACATATCCATAATACATGCACCCTATTAATTATTTGATATTTTTTAAAGTATTATTGATACTTATATGACTTGCTTGCTATATGGCATTTGGCATATATATGTATGGCGTCAAAAATTACTTTTGGGACATGTTTTGGTTTCATAAATTTTTTATAGTTTGGCCAAGTGATTTTAGATCATCCTTACTTGTGCATTACATGCATGATGGGTTATGAGAGTCCTAGTGACTTGTACTACGAATAAAGGGTGAAATTCACCATTGAAGGATATGGTATCATGGATTGAAGCAAAAGCTTTGGGATGGGCTTCACAACACATTCCATGGAATTCATGTTTAATGGTTATGCGTCTATTCTATTTTATTTCGAAAGGAGGTTGACGGTTAGTCACCGGAAATGGTTTAAGCATGTAGCTTATTCAGAATCTTCCAATCAATTGGACCTTTAGTTGAAAGGAATGTTTTGGGAGAGTAGTTGATTGAGTTTAGGTTAGTTTCATATACATATGCATATTTCTTTATGAAACTTGTACTAAATTTGTAGTTTTGCCATTATTACGTTGAAATGTTAGGATATAACATCCCTAAGTTCAGGGTTATTTTAAAATTTTTATTTATGCTTATTTTAAAACAAGAGTATCTTTTTTGAAGAATATTATTATGGAATTTGTCCCAAAATTTTTGATAAATATATTATCAAAGAATTTCTGAAGAAATTTATTTTATTTATATTAAAACATTGGGATGTCATCGTCAATACAGAAACATAAGTATAACGAAATATTACAAGCCTTACAATAATTAAACTAATGACTTAATACTCCCTGAATCTCTCAGTAGAATGTATCTTTCGTATAGCTACCAGTGATACAATAAAATGAGTGGGTCAGGTTGGGAAACTTGTTGAGTACATACGAATTTTAATCCCACAATATATATATATATATATATATATATATATATATATATATATATATATGTATATATATATATATCAATTTCACCTCATATAAACAATTTTACTCCACCCTGTCGATCCTTACAATGACACAATCCATACTTTCAGATCTATAATTAGAAGTTTTACCTAATCCACACTCGCGGATCAGGTTTGTCTAATCCATGCTCTCAGATCAATGACAAATGACTATGCCTACTCCATACTCTTCGACTATGGAAAGAATGACTATGTCTAATCCATGTTCTCAGATCAATGATAAATTTTAAAGTTCTACCATCCGTGTATATCCCATCCGTACTCATAAGAAGATACTATCAGATATTCATCTTAATTAATCATGGTTTATTCTGTATCCTAAATCATAATATATTATCAGATATGCTCTTGACATGAATTTAGGAAATATCAAATATTTCACACATAAATACATTTAATACTTTAATTAATAATTTTATTAAAATCATGTTCATGAAAGGGACTATGCACTCGCTTGATAAAGTGACGACTCAAAATTTGGGCAGTACTTCGCTTCTAGCAACTGTCTTTTCCTTTGACCTAACCTACCATTATTATCTCTAAATTTTAGTCTAATATTTATTGCGACTAATTATTGGTCAAGGTTTTATCATTAACTCAAAGTCTACTTTCATGATCTATCAAGTAAGGTACAAACTGTTGGGTTTTGAGCAATCTAACACTTCCTAAGTGTGCATGCAACCCTAATAAACCTTGGATCTATGTTTGTCTAAATACATGCAAAATAATAATTTTCCAAGGTTTATAACCTATCTAACATGGCATGGGGAACATTTCAACATAAAAGAGTTAGAAGAGATTACATACCTTTTGGTGAGTTTGGTTCTAAGGAGTTTGAGGGCCAAGCACCAATAGTGTGAATGCCTCAAATGGAATCACAAACACCACAAACTCTTGGAAAACTTTGAGAGAGTATACACCTTGTATAGAAATCGGCCACACACATGCACACACACACTAGTTCACTAGTTTTCTCTTAGGCTTCATTTCATGCTCCATAAGCATGCTTATATAGTGTGCATGGTTAGGGTGAAACCCTAATAACCCATGTCTTTTCCTTTTCCAAGGATCCATGGGTTAAAAGCTCCATGGATCATCCATGGACTTCCACATAAGCCTAGCCCATTAACAAATGAGTATTAGCCCACACTATATAAAAAATAGCCCATAATTTAATTAGTATTCCTTTTAATCTCTAAATTAATTCATAATTAATTTAAGACTAAAACTAATTAAATAACGTAACTTCATATTAATATATTATAACTCATAATATATTAATAAACATATGTGTATAACTCTCATAAAATTATCCATAATAGTTTGGATGAGATGCAACCCAAATGGACCATGCCGGTCGGGTCAAGTATATACCAAATAAGTTATGGACTTAGACACCTTATCCAACAGACTCCCACTTGGATAAGTCTAATAACTATATTTGCCTATAACTTCAGGAACCAACCAACAATCGTAGCTCTCGAAAACTCCCTCGAACAATGAAGACTCTGTCGAACTATGAAGCGCCATTTTAGATAAGTGATCACATAATCCTCTGTTCTCATGATATCAGCCGGACAAACACATGGAACTATGTCTTGCTTATTGTCTAGCAGTTGTTTCTCGATTTTCCGATTTGTTTGACGAAGAACTTCACTGAACACATCGGTTTAGTTCTGACCAGGCCTGGTACATGGGTCAACACAAAATCATCGAGGGGCCCAGATATCGCTTCTATTTCTAGAAGGAACAGATAAACTTCGACTGATATGCTTGTTCTACTACTTATTGAATTGTACACAAAGGCACGTTTTATAACATCAAGTTACTGATGCGTTTACGTGCAATCAATGCACAACCAACTCATAGGTAACAACTCATATCTCTAGGTTTAAAGATTTATATGATGTTATCGTCTCACGATCACTCGAGATAAATTCCATGAAGTGATACAAGTGAGCGTGGGTTTATACCAATACTCATAACTTATGAGTACTCATGAATGTTGCAGCAACCATTGCCATGTCTAAACACCTTTAAGGCATCTACAAACCCAATTCATGACAATCTTGATTCATACCTACTTCCGACGTATGATCGATTGTGGAGGTTTGAATAAATTAATTATTCTGGAAGTCAAAACATGCAAAACTGAAACAATAGTAAATAATTGACAATGATAGTAACACTTTACTCATAAATAAATCACAAATTTTATTCATCATCAAACGTCGATTACATTTTACAAGTTTCAGGAAAACTATCTAATCTGTAAAACTAATATCGTCCCTCAGCCCGATGCGTCTCGCATGCTGAAAATGCTTAACCCTCGTCAGTCCCTTCGTAAGGGGATCTGCAGGATTCTCATCCGACGATATCCTCCTTGTCACAAGGAGTCCTTCTTCAATCTTGTGTCTTATGAAGTGATATTTTCTGTCAATGTGTCGGGATCTGCCATGATCTCTTGGTTCCTTGGCTAAGGTAACCGCACTATTGTTGTCACAGAAAATCTCTATAGGTTCCTTAATAGCTGGTACAACTCCAAGGTCTCCGATGAAGTTCTTTAGCCATATCGCCTCCTTCGCTGCTTCACTCGCTGCTATATACTCTGATTCACAAGTCGAATCAGCCACCGTCTCCTGCTTGGAACTCTTCCAAGAAATTGCCCCTCCATTTAAGGTAAAGATCCAGCCCGACTGAGAGCGGAAATTATCCCTATCAGTCTGAAAACCAGCATCACTATACCCTAATATTTCAAGTCATCACTGCCACCAAGGGTAAGGATCCAATCCTTAGTCCTCCGCAGGTACTTGAGAATGTTCTTTACCGCGGTCCAATGAGCCTTGCCAGGGTTCCCCTGATACCTGCTGACCATGCTCAAAGCAAATGCCACATCAGGACGGGTACAAGTCATAGCATACATGATCGAGCCAACTGCGGAAGCATATGGTAATTGGCTCATCTCAGCTATCTCTGCCTCTGTACTCGGACTCTGAGTCTTACTCAGTTTGGTATTGCTTTGGATCGGTAAATCTCCTTTCTTGGAATTCTCCATGTTGAACCTTTTCAACACCTTATCCAAGTAGATACTCTGACTAAGTCCAATTAGTCTTCTACTCCTTTCTCTTAATATCCTTATCCCTAGGATATAGGTAGCCTCCCCTAGGTCCTTCATAGCAAAGCACTTCCCAAGCCAGGACTTAACCTCCTGCAAGGTTGGGATGTCATTTCCTATGAGTAGTATGTCATCCACATACAGTACCAAGAAGCTAACTATACTCCCACTAGCTCTGACATACACGCAAGACTCATCTTCGCTTCTCAAGAAGCCAAACTC